ACAGTGATTTCAAATTTCAATGGTCAATAATTATAATTAAAGTCTGCCCACTTTTGTTTTGTCAGTTTTTTAATTGGCCATTAGAAAGAAGAACGGGGTTATCAGAAACCTAATCCTACTTTTTGAGTTTACATGTTTTTGACTCTTTTCACCTTATCAACTTGTAAATCACAAATCTTTCAACTTTAATTCTCCATCGCTCATTTTTTAGAAAGCGTTTTTAGCTCAAGTGATTAAGAGCATTTACTCTTGCGCATGAGGTCCAAGATTCATTTTTCCCCTCTCCAAATATTGCTTGTATTCAACAAAACGACAAAACATTACTTCAAAGAAGACCACAAGCTTAAGGAGTTAGTATATATCTTAGACAACAGAGTTTGGCGCAGACTATGCTTGTTTGTTGAAATTTTTGAAAGAAAACAACAAAAACATGTTATATGGTGTGACACTAGTCCTATGTCGACCAAAGTAGGTGAGTTTATTGTCGTCATAAATAGAACGAAGCCCCAAGTAGGCAAGTTTATTATTGTTGTAATATTGTGTTTGACCATTACAGGGTTTAATATAACCCTTTATTATACCTCATTTAATCAGATCATAATAGAAGTTTATAAAGGGTTTGTAGCGATTACTAAAAGTGTTCTAATACTACGGCAAAATCTAAAACTAATATAAAGAAAGACTTCATTATTTTTTATGTCCCATTAATTAGCTGATGTGATATATACATATGTAGTTTTAAGAACACACATATTTAGAATTTTGTTATATGTAAATTATTTGATTCCAATGCAAAGTTCCAATAGAGAAAATCCGTTACATAGAGGTAAAAAAAAAGAGAGAAACATAGTGGGGTTCGATCTTCCTCAGATCGGTTGTCGGTGACAAGTCCTGTTCTTCGCAATATTTAAAATTATTTTAATGGAGCCCAAAAATTCCCCGTTATTATGACTTGGGAAAATCAATGCTGGGATTTTGACTTCAGTCAGTTCTTCCAAGTCCTAACCCTAATAAATAATAAATTAAAAAAAAAACAGTACCACGTCCTTCTACAGTATGGGGGCATTTGACTTAGTGCTCCAGCTTAGTCTTCACAGCCGTCAGATCTTCGATCTGGTAAAGCATGGTGCGAGACCGAGGGTTGAAATAGTTGACTTCTGTGCTCCCTCCCCCTTCAAGTTGTAGTTATTTTATTAAGCTTCTCTTGCGTTAATGCTGTCCCATCTAGGACTGGGACTGGGACTGGGAGAGAGACTGGGGGGTTCAAGGATATAATTAACACTGTAGGGTAGGGCCATGACACGTATGTCCCTGCATGAGGCCACGTTGTGAGTACAAGGATTGATGGGACCCAGATGTGAGTATCCTAAGTAATAGGTCCCATTGCTTACCCTACCACAGTGAAATCAATTTAAACAGTTTACATGCTTCAAACGGTAAAACATTAAAAAAATATACTACTTGCCTCTTTATCGGTAATGAAATACTTCTCATTCCTACGAATAACAGTTTGACACACATACAAAAAATAATTCAGCAAGAAAACAAAAAGAAAAATTTATGCACATATGCCACACTGCTATTAACAGAAATATAGAAACTCCTACTTACCTAGTAAGAAGGGAAGTATTTTCCTTTAAATCCTTAAAATACATCGCACTCTAATATGAAACGAACACGTTAAAGTAAAATATTTATAATACTCAACCACTCTAATATTTTTAATACTCAACATAAGAATTCATAAATCATTACGAAGTTAAAGCCCTAATCCTAATTTTTTTTTTTTAATCAGTTAGTGTTGAATTTATGACATGAAATTCCTTTGATATAGACAAGATAATATAATATATTTGTTTCTTTTTTTGGTATGGAAAATTCTTGTTTCGTCCTCTTTTCATGGATTCCATTCTAGGTTTAAAACTGACCTGTGTGGGAACAAATATTAATGAATATTGACGCACAAAGTAGTCGGTGGCTATGTAATTCCTCAACTGACCCCAAGTTAATATGATATGAGAGGGAAGGGACCCATGAAGCAAGGGCAGGTGACTATTGTAATCATCTTGTGATTCCGAGCCAGTCTTAAGGTGAGCACATCAATCATTGGCAACGTCCCATTGCTTTTTAACTAATTTCTGTAGAGATTTTTCTTCTTTTACGTGGCTGTCCCTTAGAGCATCTCCACCCACAAGGGCTAAGTCCAAGGCAATGGCAAGTAAGGGCTGTCACTATTCATGTGAATAGTGTCAGCCTTTACATTTGTGGTTCCACCCACAAGGGCTAAGTCTAGGGCAAGTCTAAGGCAAGAAAGGAAAAAAATTATTATGCAACAAAATATAAACAATTTAGAAAGTGAATAAAATTGTTATGTATTTATAGGGAAAGCATCTATAATTTTTTGGTATTTAAAAAAAAATATGGAAATTTTTTTGAATATTTTTGGTATATTTTTAAAATATTTTTTTGCTCACTGACGTCAGCATGACGTCACAAAACTCGGTTTGAAGCCCAGGCAAAACCTGCCCTTGGGCTTGCCCGGGCTGGTGGGACCCACGCCAAACCGGGCTGCAGGCTGCAGCGCTGGAGCTGCTTGGGCTTACGAGGGGGGCCTTTTGCCCGGAGCATCTCCTGCGCTGGAGATGCTCTTAGGGATGAATAATAGTGACTTTTTATGCATTTTCATGAAAGTTTCTCCTAAATTCTCTCTATAACAATCGAGGGCAAAGCTAGAAATTTACTCAGGATTAGGTTATAATTTTTTTCTTCCGTCTATTATATGTGTGAGTGATGACTGAGTGCTTTTGTATAAGGAGTTATTCGGATGCAGTCGAGCCAATTCTTGCTGGGATGAGGTTGAATAATTTTCAATTCATAGAAATTTCTTAAAAAATTAACACCAAATTGCTATATTCTGTGGTACTTTTTACATCAATTAATAACTTACGCATCACTTTCACATAATGTGATTGCAAATATAGTATCAAATAGAGTCCCTTTCGACGTTATTGCAGTCTTCAAAAGTTTCAATGTGCCTAACCTCTTGACCACAAAAACTTCGGTCCTTGAGCGGGATACATTAATGGTAGAGCCTAACCTCTTGAAAACAACAAGAAAAAAAGTATGATACTTTCGCGCCCTATGTACACATGACTTTTTCTCTTTTGACATGGGAGGGGTAATGCTTCTATTTTGAATTCATGATTCAAATATGAGAATTGGCTAAGACAAGAGGGTCAGTTATCCACTACAAGAAAAAATAATTAATAATCACTTTTATTCATGGCACAACAAGTATTTGTGTTTATTATTTTTAGTCATCTCATCATGTGCGACGGATGTCAGTGACTATATATAATGTTGTTTTCTTCTACTGCCACGTGAATGTTTTAAGGTCGATGATTAGTGGATTAGGTATCTACAATTTGGTATAATCCCATTCTAAGAAATTTGAATTTCACCTTCTTTTAAATATAGGAGCCTGTTGAAATTAAAGTAGACAATAGAGAAGTATTTGCAGACTATTCCCAATTTCTCCTATTTTACATTATTAAAGATTTTTTATTTTTGAAACAATTGATATTGGGGAGTAGGAAATCAAACCTAGGATTTCGGGTGTTATAAATGCTCTTATTAACTTAAGTTACAAGTTCTTTGCAAAGAATTGAACTCATTAAATATCACATAATGGTTTCCAAGTAAAACAAATCACATAAAAATTATTAATATTTGAATAAGAGACAATATTTTCCATAGTATAAACAAAAAGTAAGCCTGCAATAATATTTGATTGGATTTCAAGTGCATGATATGAAGGCCTAGTTTGAGATTGTTGTCACTTTTTAAAAATGTTTCTTCTGTTGTACTTTGAAAATAATTAGCTCTAAAGTAAAATTGTTTCATGTTTGGTAAACAATATTTTTAAAATGCAGTTAGTATAAAAAACAATGTCAAAACTATTTGGTAAGTTTTAATATAGAACTATTGTAATTGTGGATAATGATTAAAATGGACATGATGTTGAAAGTGTTATGTGCTAATCATGTGGTGGTGGAGGTGGATATGGTGATGACACCTTGGCCCATTTGTGCTTCCACTCCTTGTTCCATACCATTTCAATCCCATGACAACTCTTATTCCCAACAACTATACATCAAGCTTCCCACTGGATGCTTTCGAGGGAACATTTCATGGATTGATCACATGAAGAAAGACATGTGAAAAAGGCCATGCAAAAGCAAAGCAACTAAAGGAACAAAGGATAAAAAAGTGAAAGGCCACTTCTTTTTTTGTTCCCTTCTTTTTTCATCTTTTTGTACATGGATCAAAATATGGTCATATGCCTTCTCTTTTTTTGTTCCCATGTGATATTATATAACAGAAGGTTACAAAGGACTGGAGGGGCTTCCTGGGTTCCTGGACTTTAGGACTCCCAAAATGCCACAAATAAATTCTCCTTTCCCATTTCTCAAAGTGCCATGTCCAAAATGGTAAAAGCCAACCACTTCTTTGGGTAATTGGGTGGGTGAAAAATTTAATTTAAAATTGTAAAAGATTGGTGGGGTGAGAGAGGCTCGAACTCTCGACCTCAGGATAACTCAGAAGCTATGAGACCTACGCGCTAGCCAACTGCGCCACCACCCCGATGTTGATAATCACCTTGACTCTTTATATATTAAGATAGACAGTCGATACAGTAATAAAATATAATGAACAAGACCAGCCCATGCCCCAGACTGAATGATGACTTGTTAGTTGCTGGAATGTTCCAGGAAGTGAAGCATCCCACAATGAACAAGACCAGCCCATGCCTCAGCCTGAATGATGACTCATCAGGCAACACCAGCAACAAAACAGCTGCTAAAGGAATGGTTGAACCGGAGGTCATCAGCAATGTTATTCTATATGCATGAATCATGGAAAAAACAGGATATTCATTATACAGAATTGTCATAAAAATATAATAAATTACACTCTGGTTTGATTCACATTGATCCAGATCCTGAAAATCAACAGACTTGGATAATTTTCTCCACAAATCCATCAGAAGTAAATGCTTTGCTATATAGCACTTCCTCTGTTATTGTATCAAGAATGTGGAGTCTCATATTCCATTACTAGCGCGGATGTGGTTCAGTAAAAGTCTCATATTCCATTACTATGACAGAGTTACTCTTCGATCGATCTGACCTTGTTGCCCCTGAATTATATTCAGATCGTAACGACATGTCCGATGCAATGCTTCTATGCAAATAAAATGCAGGTTGGGAGGGCACTGGGAGAGTGAGGGAGTAGCTATTCAGCATGAGAATAACAGAAGCCATTGATGGCCTATCAACCACATTTTCTTGCACACATAATAATCCAATGTGGATGCATCTCATTATTTCTGTTCTTGAACCAGTCTTCAATGTGGGATCTATTAGATTTGAAGCTGTCCCATCCCTCCAACTTCTCCAGGCCTGCAATGATTTGTGAATTTGCAGAAATGATCAGAGATAAGTTTCCTTTCTTTAATTCGTTGCACTAAATTGTATTGAGATTTAAAACCTATATTATATTTTCACTTACGAAGCTTAGAAGATCCTCCAAATTTTCTCCATGCCGGATGCCAATATTTTTTTGTCCACTGACTATCTCTAGAACTAACACACCAAAACTGAAGACATCAGACTTAACAGAAAAGTACCCATGCATTGCATACTCTGGAGCCATATACCCACTGCATATCAACAAAAAGAATGTCAGCGTTCACCAACGCATATGGAAAGGAAATTGTTGACATAACAAACATAGGCCCACAAGCAGTTAAGTGCATATTCTTACTAGGTCCCAACAATCCGACTAGTATTGCCTTGCGTTTGATCAAGCACGAACAACCTTGCCATGCCAAAATCTGAAATTTTGGGGTTCATTTCTGCATCTATCAAGATGTTACTAGCTTTGAGATCACGATGAATAATTCTAAGGCGAGAGTCTTCGTGGAGGTAAAGGAGGCCTCGAGCAGTGCCTACTATGATTTTGTAGCGCCTCTCCCAATCTAGGTGTGCACGCTTTGTTGGGTCTGCAAATATATTAATGCAAAATCAAGACTTCAATTACAATGTTTGCTTGCATACATGTTTCACAATTGGAATTGTATAATAAACATTCAAAGTCAAACGAAAACAAAGCATAATTCCAGACATACCAAATATGATGTGATC